CAAAAACCAGAAATTCTGATTGATAATGGGAACCCAGGCTGAAACGCACCGGGCGGGCCCGTGCGATTATGCGTTTTTGCACCGGACTTGAAGTACTCAGGTCATTAACTGCATGAATGACTTTGCTTTACATCTACCTGCTGCGGTCACTAGCATAAAGCACCATAAATTTTGCAAAGTAATGTGTAATTCCCATTTAACAGGCGTTCTTTAAAAGTAACCTAGTTGTTCAGTGAGAAATTTTTTTCGTCAAGACTTTTAAGTGCCCGTCGTAAGGAACACGGCATACTTCAAGCTGAATCTGAAATACGTAAACTGTACTTGGGCTGAGAACATTCTCCCAAAATTTCAGCTTTCCAGCTTTTCTGATTACCGAGTTAGCGATTTTCTCGCCAAAACCTTCACATACCCGTACGTGGGTACTCCACGTGTCTGGAAAGCTGAATTTGAAATTTTTAAATTACACTTGGACAGGAATACCCCTTAAATTTTATCCTTCCAGCTCTTCTGTTGACGAATTAGTAATTTTCCTGCAGAAACTTCCATATGCCCTTACGTGAGTACAACGCAAAGTTTTGGGCTGATTTTGTAACATTTGAGTTGTACTTGGATGGGGGACATCCCCTCAAAATTTCAACTTTCTAGCTTTCCAGGTACCCGAGTTAGGAATTTTCCCCCTAAAACTTTCATACGCTCTTACGTGAGTACCATGCATAATAGGGGGCTGAATTTGAAAAATTTGAGTAGTGCTTGGGTAGGGAACATTCCCCCAAAGTTTCAGCTTTCTAGCTTTCCAGGTACCCGAGTTAGCAATTTTCCCCCTAAAATTTTCATGCGCTCTTACATGAGTACCACGCACATCTGGGAACTGAGTTTGAAATCTTTTGCTAGTACATGCACAGGAAATATCCTGACAAAGTTTCAGCTCCTTAGCTCGTGCGGTTCCCGCGGCAGCTTTCCCACCAAAAAATTTGCATATTTTTTTAAAGCGTCCGTACGCGGCACAGAGTCGTCCACGGGAGATGAAATTAAAACGAGAGGGTCGCGCATGGTATAGGCACATAGCTCCAAAGTTTCAGCCTTCTAGCTTTTCTGGGTCTCTAGTTGAAAGTGAGTTACAAAAAGTGCGAACACATAGCCACACACACACACACACACACACACACACACACACACACACACA